TAAGAAGAGTCTCAATTGTAAGAAGAGTCTCAATTGTAAGAAGAGTCTCAATTGTAAGAAGAGTCTCAATTGTAAGAAGAGTCTCAGTTGTAAGAAGAGTCTCAGTTGTAAGAAGAGTCTCAATTGTAAGAAGAGTCTCAATTGTAAGAAGAGTCTCAGTTGTAAGAAGAGTCTCAGTTGTAAGAAGAGTCTCAATTGTAAGAAGGGTCTCAATTGTAAGAAGGGTCTCAATTGTAAGAAGAGTCTCAATTGTAAGAAGAGTCTCAATTGTAAGAAGAGTCTCAATTGTAAGAAGAGTCTCAATTGTAAGAAGAGTCTCAATTGTAAGAAGAGTCTCAATTGTAAGAAGAGTCTCAATTGCAAGAAGAGTCTCAATTGTAAGAAGAGTCTCAATTGTAAGAAGAGTCTCAATTGCAAGAAGAGTCTCAATTGTAAGAAGAGTCTCAATTGTAAGAAGAGTCTCAATTGTAAGAAGAGTCTCAATTGTAAGAAGAGTCTCAATTGTAAGAAGAGTCTCAATTGTAAGAAGAGTCTCAATTGTAAGAAGAGTCAAGAGTCTCAATTGTAAGAAGAGTCTCAATTGTAAGAAGAGTCTCAATTGTAAGAAGAGTCTCAATTGTAAGAAGAGTCTCAATTGTAAGAAGAGTCTCAATTGTAAGAAGAGTCTCAATTGAAAGAAGAGTCTCAATTGTAATCTCAAGAAGAGTCTCAAACAAAGAGTCCCAAACAAAGAGTCTCAAACAAAGAGTCTCAAACAAGAGTCTCAAACAAAGAGTCTCAAACAAAGAGTCTCAAACAAAGAGGCTCAAACAAAGAGTCTCAAACAAAGAGTCTCAAACAAAGAGTCTCAAACAAAGAGTCTCAAACAAAGAGTCTCAAACAAAGAGTCTCAAACAAAGAGTCTCAAACAAAGAGTCTCAAACAAAGAGTCTCAAACAAAGAGTCTCAAACAAAGAGTCTCAAACAAAGAGTCTCAGACAAAGAGTCTCAGACAAAGAGTCTCAGACAAAGAGTCTCAAACAAAGAGTCTCAAACAAAGAGTCTCAAACAAAGAGTCTCAAACAAAGAGTCTCAAACAAAGAGTCTCAAACAAAGAGTCTCAAACAAAGAGTCTCAAACAAAGAGTCTCAAACAAAGAGTCTCAAGAAAAGAGTCTCAAGAAGAGTCTCAAGAAGAGTCTCCAGAAGAGTCTCCAGAAGAGTCTCAAGAAGAGTCTCCAGAAGAGTCTCCAGAAGAGTCTCAAAGAAGAGTCTCAAAGAAGAGTCTCAAGAAGAGTCTCCAGAAGAGTCTCGAGAAGAGTCTCAAGAAGAGTCTCCAGAAGAGTCTCCAGAAGAGCCTCAAAGAAGAGCCTCAAAGAAGAGTCTCAAAGAAGAGTCTCAAAGAAGAGTCTCAAAGAAGAGTGTCAAAAAGGAGTCTCAAAAAGGAGTCTCAAGAAAGAGTCTCAAGAAAGAGTCTCAAGAAGAGTCTCAAGAAGAGTCTCAAGAAGAGTCTCAAGAAGAGTCTCAAGAAGAGTCTCAAGAAGAGTCTCAAGAAGAGTCTCAAGAAGAGCCTCAAGAAGAGTCTCAAGAAGAGCCTCAAGAAGAGTCTCCAGAAGAGTCTCAAGAAGAGTCTCCAGAAGAGTCTCCAGAAGAGTCTCAAAGAAGAGTCTCAAAGAAGAGTCTCAAAGAAGAGTCTCAAAGAAGAGTCTCAAAGAAGAGTCTCAAAGAAGAGTCTCAAAGAAGAGTCTCAAGAAGAGGGGTCTCAAGAAGAGGAGTCTCAAGAAGAGGAGTCTCAAGAAGAGTCTCAAGAAGAGGAGTCTCAAGAGGAGTCTCAAGAAGAGTCTCAAGAAGAGCCCCCAGAGGAGTCTCAAGAGGAGTCTCAAGAGGAGTCTCAAGAAGAGTCTCAAGAAGAGTCTCAGGAAGAGTCTCAAGAAGAGTCTCAAGAAGAGTCTCAAGAAGAGTCTCAAGAAGAGTCTCAAGAAGAGTCTCAAGAAGAGTCTCAAGCAGAGTCTCAAGAAGAGTCTCAAGAAGAGGAGTCTCAAGAAGAGGAGTCTCAAGAAGAGGAGTCTCAAGAAGAGGAGTCTCAAGAAGAGGAGTCTCAAGAAGAGGAGTCTCAAGAAGAGGAGTCTCAAGAAGAGGAGTCTCAAGAAGACGAGTCTCAAGAAGACGAGTCTCAAGAGGACTCTCAAGAGGAGTCTAAAGAGGAGTCTCAAGAGGAGTCTCAAGAGGAGTCTCAAGAGGAGTCTCAAGAAGAGTCTCAAGAAGAGTCTCAAGAAGAGGAGTCTCAAAGAAGAGTCTCAAAGAAGAGTCTCAAAGAAGAGTCTCAAGAAGAGTCTCAAGAAGAGGAGTCTCAAGAAGAGGAGTCTCAAGAAGAGTCTCAAGAAGAGGAGTCTCAAGAGGAGTCTCAAGAAGAGGAGTCCCAAGGGGGTCTTAAAGAAGAGGGGCGTCTCAAGAAGAGGAGTTCTCAAGAAGAGGGAGTCTCAAGAGGGAAGTCTCAAGAAAGAGAGGAAGAGGGGTCTCAAGAAGAGGAGTCTCAAGAAGAGGGAGTCCAGAAGAGGAGCTCAAGAAGAGAGTCTCAAGAAGAGGAGTCTCAAGAAGAGGAGTCTCCAAGATGAGGAGTCCCAAGAGGAAGTCTCAAGAGAGCGTCTCAAGAGGAAGTCTTCAAGAAGAGGAGTCTCAAGAAGACGGGTTCAAGAAGACGGGTCTCAAGAGGAGTTCTCAAGAGGCGTCCCCAGAAAAGAGTCGCAGAAGAGTCTCAAGAAGAGTCTCAAGAAGAGTCTCAAGCAGAGTCTCAAGAAGAGTCTCAAGAAGAGTCTCAAGAAGAGTCTCAAGAAGAGTCTCAAGAAGAGTCTCAAGCAGAGTCTCAAGAAGAGTCTCAAGAAGAGTCTCAAGAAGAGTCTCAAGAAGAGTCTCAAGAAGAGTCTCAAGCAGAGTCTCAAGCAGAGTCTCAAGAAGAGTCTCAAGAAGAGTCTCAAGAAGAGTCTCAAGAAGAGTCTCAAGAAGAGTCTCAAGAAGAGTCTCAAGCAGAGTCTCAAGAAGAGTCTCAAGAAGAGTCTCAAGAAGAGTCTCAAGAAGAGTCTCAAGAAGAGTCTCAAGAAGAGTCTCAAGCAGAGTCTCAAGAAGAGTCTCAAGAAGAGTCTCAAGAAGAGTCTCAAGCAGAGTCTCAAGAAGAGTCTCAAGCAGAGTCTCAAGCAGAGTCTCAAGAAGAGTCTCAAGAAGAGTCTCAAGAAGAGTCTCAAGAAGAGTCTCAAGAAGAGTCTCAAGAAGAGTCTCAAGAAGAGTCTCAAGAAGAGTCTCAAGAGGAGTCTCAAGAAGAGTCTCAAGAGGAGTCTCAAGAAGAGTCTCAAGAAGAGTCTCAAGAAGAGTCTCAAGAAGAGTCTCAAGAAGAGGAGTCTCAAGAAGAGGAGTCTCAAGAAGAGGAGTCTCAAGAAGAGGAGTCTCAAGATGAGGAGTCTCAAGATGAGGAGTCTCAAGATGAGGAGTCCCAAGAGGAGTCTCAAGAGGAGTCTCAAGAGGAGTCTCAAGAGGAGTCTCAAGAGGAGTCTCAAGATGAGGAGTCTCAAGAAGAGGAGTCTCAAGAAGAGGAGTCTCAAGAAGAGGAGTCTCAAGAAGAGGAGTCTCAAGAAGAGGAGTCTCAAGATGAGGAGTCCCAAGAGGAGTCTCAAGAGGAGTCTCAAGATGAGGAGTCTCAAGAAGAGTCTCAAGAAGAGGAGTCTCAAGAAGAGGAGTCTCAAGATGAGGAGTCCCAAGAGGAGTCTCAAGAGGAGTCTCAAGAGGAGTCTCAAGAAGAGTCTCAAGAAGAGTCTCAAGAAGAGTCAGATGTCGGAAACCATCGGAACATATCGGAACAATCATCACATGTCTTTTGCGTCCCATAGTTTTCGATGGTTTTTGTAACAAGAAATGAAGTTGTTGACTCTGACAGTTGTGTCTCTGTGGCTGCGTGTTGGTGTCACGATAGGTCCTACATTGTGCTTAGGGTTGCGGGATGCGATGGGATGCGAGTATGTGAGTATCAACCTTCTGACCCCATGATTTTCCCGGTAGGATCGTTCCTTGTTTCAAAACATTTCAAAACAGCATACGCAACCGGTGGCAACCGGTGGCAACCGATATGGTTTGCGTATGCTGTTGCCACCTGTCGGCTCACGTTTCACACCACAGGTTTGGGCACGGCACGAGGGAGAGGATGAAGCACCGCCTTCCAAAGGTTGGAAGGCCGCGTCTGTAAAGCGTGTCGCATGTAGAGAACGTCATGAGAACATCAGGCCAAAATTACTTCACTTTGAGTCACCTTCATTCACCTTCATCACATCATGAGGAGACATTAGGATACATTAGGAATCATTGCTATGTTGTTATGCTACAAAGTTTGGCAGTGTGGTGTGGACAAGACTGTACAGTTGCCATGACTATAACAAACTACGAGAACCATCGAGAACCCAGTTTGGGTCCTGTGGTCAAATGATACCCGTGGTCCATCCTGGCCTCGAATCCATGTCCATCGATGTCCATCGCCAGGTCCCCTGGGACACCCAGACTCAGACTGATCTCATCGGGGTAGAACTTCTGGCGCAGGCGTTGCATGGGAACCCACAAAAAAAACATGAGAGTCTGCCGAGAGCCTTGCGAGAGTCGACCTGCTATGTAGAGTCCACATGAGTCCACGAACAGCATGGCCCCGCATGGACAAGCTCTCGTTTTGATTCTTTCTGCACAGATTCTAGTCTTCAATAGTCTTCACAGGTGAGGGGGTTTGAACTTCAAGATATCTCAAGATATCTCAAGATGTCTCAAGGTGTCTCAAGATGTTGCAAGATGTCTCAAGACGTGAGATGTTCCCTGGAGCTGGAGTCAACTTGAGCCATTCTCCGGATGAGGCAGATCAGGAGAGAAAATCGGCTGAGGATACCACCATCTCCAAAGCTCAGGCAGGACGGAGGACGGAGATGCCAAGGCAAAGGGGAAGGATTTTGCGCCTAGGGTTGCGTGAGCAATCGTGAGCAATCGTGAGCAATTTGCAATAGACTATCATTAGCAATTATAACGAGCCCAAGTCCCAAAGTGGGCCGAAAGCAACGGGATGCACTGAGTTTATTATGTCTAGAACATCTGTTTGAGTTTCGAGATGATTCCAGATGCGAGATGCGATTCTGCACAAGGTTGACAAATTGGTGGAGGATATGAAACCCCTGTGGGCAAGGCCAGCATCAAAGCAGTGCAAAACAGAGACAAGAAATGGCAAGAATTCGCAGGGAAGACCTTGTTGGAAACATTGCGTCAATTGAATGCATGCAGCTAGGGGATGCGACATTTTGTGATTCGTGCCCATTTTATGTCCCTTTGACATCATTTAGCAAGAGTCCATTACTTGCATTGCTTTGTTTGACTGTGCGGTTTCCTATTTGCTTTTGCAGCTTGAATTTGTCAAAACATCCTTTCATGCAAAAAACATTGTCTATGCATGTCTATGCATATCTATGCCAAGTATGGAATTTCAGACATCAACTCTACACCAAGCATGAGACAGGCCACTGGTAGGTAAAGCGGCAAGCAATGCACATTGATGTTCTATGTTCTGCAGTGAAAGGAGCTGCGCAGTTTGCCCTTTAGGCTGAAGATCCTGTAGCTGCCACTGAAAAAAGATCCTGTAGACGTACCGTAGCCATGCATCACACTCAGCTGCTCGAGGCAGATGGTCCCTTGGCGGCTTTGTTGAACCACAGCAGGGCTTCAGAAGAAAAGTTTCTTCAGGATCTCCAGACCTCCCTCCTGACGAAGAAGAAGTCCAAGTGCTTTCGAACTTCTGAGTCGATGGAGGATGAGGAACTGGAAGTCAGAACATCAACGATTTCCTCGGGTTGCGCTTCCCCAAGCCGGGAGTGCCATCGAGTCACGGTGAGCTTGTGAAGCTTGTGAGTCGTGACAGCAACGTAGATCTGATTCTTTTCTGATACTTATTTCTCAACAAGATGCTGCAGAAGTAGCTTTTGAGATGTTTTGTTTGAAATGCCCAGCGCCAGCCAGAGACACCATGCTGCGACTGGCCTTTGCGCTCATTTGTGCAGAGACTTGTCTTTGGCATGACAGTACTGTGGTGCTTTGTTCTAAAGTACGACCTGGCTGTGGGACTGTGGCAGACTGCAAAGTCACTTTAATTAGTCACTTTAGTCTGTGTCCTCTGTGCTGTATCTTATTGGCATTGAGGGTGCCTGGTAACCAAGCATGCAACTAGTCAACCAGCAGACTGAAAAGCCTTTGAGCTTTTTTGCTGGAGATTGAAATGTGAAGTCTCACGCTGACGATAGCAAATATTCTAATTTCTGTTTGAATTTGGAAGCCTTGACCCATGTTCCAAAAGGAAGACCCGTGCGGAACTTTCTTCCATATTTTGGACGACGTGTAGTTTGGGGTCCTGGCCAGTCTTAGCTTTCAGCATTGCTATCGTCTCTTCCACTTCCACTGGCATTTCCACGGCACGGTGTTATAGTTCATCTCATAGTTTTGCAGTCTCTGAGTGGTTACAGTCACATTTTGCAGTCTCAGTCGTTTGCACTTTGGACATCCTTTAATTGTGCCGAGTCAAAGTCCTACGAAGTGGGTGTGCCGTGCAGACAGGTCATTTGCCATGCAAATGACATAGTTAATTGGCAGCTTTGAGTGCTCGTTGAATATTGACTGCACATTGGTGCTTCCTTTTGGAGCGCAAGAAAATGGCAAACAAACGCTTGTTGGAACTATTCGTGGGTCGTGTCGTGTTTGGTTATCAAGAGTCGATTACTTGCATTGCTTTGTTTGACTGCGCAGTTTCCTATCTGCTTTTGCAGCTTGAATTTGTCAAAACATCCTTTCATGCAAAAAAACATTGTCTATGCATGTCTATGCATATCTATGCCAAGTATGGAATTTCAGACATCAACTCTACACCAAGCATGAGACAGGCCACTGGTAGGTAAAGCGGCAAGCAATGCACATTGATGTTCTATGTTCTGCAGTGAAAGGAGCTGCGCAGTTTGCCCTTTAGGCTGAAGATCCTGTAGCTGCCACTGAAAAAAATCCTGTAGACGTACCGTAGCCATGCATCACACTCAGCTGCTCGAGGCAGATGGTCCCTTGGCGGCTTTGTTGAACCACAGCAGGGCTTCAGAAGAAAAGTTTCTTCAGGATCTCCAGACCTCCCTCCTGACGAAGAAGAAGTCCAAGTGCTTTCGAACTTCTGAGTCGATGGAGGATGAGGAACTGGAAGTCAGAACATCAACGATTTCCTCGGGTTGCGCTTCCCCAAGCCGGGAGTGCCATCGAGTCACGGTGAGCTTGTGAAGCTTGTGAGTCGTGACAGCAACGTAGATCTGATTCTTTTCTGATACTTATTTCTCAACAAGATGCTGCAGAAGTAGCTTTTGAGATGTTTTGTTTGAAATGCCCAGCGCCAGCCAGAGACACCATGCTGCGACTGGCCTTTGCGCTCATTTGTGAAGAGACTTGTCTTTGGCATGACAGTACTGTGGTGCTTTGTTCTAAAGTACAACCTGGCTGTGGGACTGTGGCAGACTGCAAAGTCATTTTAGTCTGTGTTCTGTATTTTACTGTATTTGCATTGAGGGTGCCCAGTAACCAAGCATGCAGCTAGCCAACCAGCAGACTGAAGGCAGCCCTCAGATGTCAAGCCCTACGAGTTTGGTGTTCGAAATGATGGCACAAATTCTGGGGCTTTTTGCCTTTGGTGTTAAATTGCTGGAGTTTGAAATGTGAAATCTCACCCTGACGATAGCAAATGTTCTAATTTCTGTTTGAACTTTAATATCTTTAATCAGGTTCCGAAAGATAGAGCTGTGCAGAACTTTCTTGCATACCTTGGACGACTTTCCATTTGAGGTCTTGGCCAGTCTTAGCTTTCAGCATTGCTATCGTCTCTTCCACTTCCACTGGCATTTCCACGGCACGGTGTTATAGTTCATCTCATAGTTTTGCAGTCTCTGAGTGGTTACAGTCACATTTTGCAGTCTCAGTCGTTTGCACTTTTGACGTCCTTTAATTGTGCCAAAGGTCCTACGAAGTGGTTGTGTCGTGCAGACAGGTCATTTGCCATGCAAATGACATAGTTAATTAGCAGCTTTGAGTGCTCGTTGAATATTGACTGCACATTGGTGCTTCCTTTTGGAGCGCAAGAAAATGGCAAACAAATGCTTGTTGGAACATCCCTACCCTCTTAAAAATGGAATTTGAGGGGGGGGAGGTACGAGGGAAAAACATGTACTATGTGGCGCGCGCAGTTTTCCTTCTAAAAATTCTAAATTTGGGTCACGTGAATTTAGAATTCAATCGTAAAATTCTAATTTTTTCCACGCTCCAAATTTTGAATTTTTGAATTCAATTCTAAGAATTCTAAAAATTCTAAATTTTTCCAAGCTCCAAATTTAGAATTTTTAGAATTTTTAGAGTTCAAAGCTGGATTTGGGGAAGTTGAACTATATAATTCATTATAATTCTAATTTAGAATTTTTAGAATTTTTAGAATTTTTAGAATGCTACACGCACGCGCACCGGTCAAATAGGTCCCAATCTTCCCTGCCACGCCCCAGCTGAAGCATGGATGAGGCAATTGTGAACAAAGAAACGTAAGAGCGAGATCATTGTTCCTTCAGGGTGGAACACGAAATTGTTACTGACTCAAAACTGTAGGAAGCGGTGGGCTAATAGAAAATTGGATATGTATAGGGAAGACAATTCTACCTGTGATGTGGGTTCCGATGCATAAGAAAACGGGAAGAAAGAACGGTGACAGAGTGAAAGAGATGAACAAGAAATATAGGAACGAACGTAATAGTGAAGTGAGTAAATGCACGAAGGAATTTCATAGGGAAGATGACTGTTTCATTGATCTGTGGGTGTAAGGTGAGAAAATGCAAGAAGATAAGACATGTCAAGAGCAAGACCCATCTGTGGGGGTGGGTGGAGAAGGTCAGATTGAGGGGGCTGGTCAGGTGAAAGTGCAGTATAGAGCATATCCTTTAATAGTGTATGGGAAAATTTGTTTTTTTTGCGCAACGTAGGGCAAATTTTTGTGAAAAACGCGCCGCGCCACATAGTACGTGTTTTTCCCTGCCACGGGGGGGGAGTCGTACTGAAATTTCATTTAAAAATTCCATTTTTGCAATCATGCTTTCTCAATGATCAATATTCCTCATCATTCCATGTCTTTGGCAAGCAGATGAAAATTAAATACTTGCGTTTAGCTCCGAAGGAGCTAAGCACATGTCAGACTGAAGCACCACATATGTAGGGATGGCATCCCTCCAAAAATTGTGCCGCCGTCATCATACTTGCGCTTAGCTCCTCCGGAGCTAAGCGCAAGTATTTTCTAACCAGTGCCCAAGGTTTGTTAAGAAATGTTACTGTATAATTCCATTTGAGGGGTTGGATCACTATCCCGGGGTTTCCAAGCAAAAAAAAAATGGAATTCGACAGCTTGGTTTTGTCCCCCCCCGCCCTCCCCCTCTATAGGCGTAGGGATGTTGGAACTATTCGTGGGTCGTGTCGTGTTTGGTTATCAAGAGTCCATTACTTGCATTGCTTTGTTTGACTGTGCAGTTTCCTATCTGTTTTTGCAGCTTGAATTTGTCAAAACATCCTTTCATGCAAAAAACATTGTCTATGCATGTCTATGCATATCTATGCCAAGTATGGAATTTCAGACATCAACTCTACACCAAGCATGAGACAGGCCACTGGTAGGTAAAGTGGCAAGCAATGCACATTGATGTTCTATGTTCTGCAGTGACAGGAGCTGCGCAGTTTGCCCTTTAGGCTGAAGATCCTGTAGCTGCCACTGAAAAAAGATCCTGTAGACGTACCGTAGCCATGCATCACACTCAGCTGCTCGAGGCAGATGGTCCCTTGGCGGCTTTGTTGAACCACAGCAGGGCTTCAGAAGAAAAGTTTCTTCAGGATCTCCAGACCTCCCTCCTGACGAAGAAGAAGTCCAAGTGCTTTCGAACTTCTGGGTCGATGGAGGATGAAGAACTGGAAGTCAGAACATCAACGATTTCCTCGGGTTGCGCTTCCCCAAGCCGGGAGTGCCATCGAGTCATGGTGAGCTTGTGAAGCTTGTGAGTCGTGACAGCAACGTAGATCTGATTCTTTTCTGATACTTAATCTGTTTCTCAACAAGACGCTGCAGAAGTAGCTTTTGAGACCTTTGTTTCAAGATCTTTTAAGTGCCCGGACCCAACCAGAGAGATCATGCTAAGACCGGCTCTTTGCGCTCTCGTGTGCTTTTGAGACTTGTCTTGGACATGACAGCGCCACCTGGCTGTGGGGGTTTGTGGCAGACTGCAAAGTCACTTTAGTCTGTCTATCTTATTTGCATTGAGGGTGCCCAGTAACCAAGCATGCAGCTAGCCAACCAGCAGACTGAAGGCAGCCCTCAGATGTCAAGCCCTACGAGCTTAGTGTCCGAAATGATGGCACAAAGTCTGGGGCTTTTTGCCTTTGGTGCTTTTTTGCTGGATTTTTAAATACAAAGTCTCACGCTGACGATAGCAAATATTCTAATTTCTGTTTGAATTTGGAAGCCTTGACTCATGTTCCAAAAAAAGAAGAAGTGTGCAAAACTTTCTTCCATATTCTGGACGACATTTAATTTGAGGTCTTGGCCAGTCTTAGCTTTCAGCATTGCTATCGCCTCTTCCACTTCGGTTAGTTTTTCCACGGCACAGTGTTATAGTTCATCTCGTAGTTTTGCAATCTCCGAGTGTTTACAGTCACATCTTGCAGAAGTCCTACGAAGTGGTTGTGTCGTGCAGACAGGTCATTTGCCATGGAAATGACATAATTAATTAGCAGCTCGGGGTGCTCGTTGAATATTGACTGCACATTGGTGCTTCCTTTTGGAGCGCAAGAAAATGGCAAAACAGACGCTTGTTGGAACTATTCGTGGGTCGTGTCGTGTTTGGTTATCAAGAGTCCATTACTTGCATGGCTTTGTTTGACTGTGCATTGTCCTATTTGCTTTTGCAGCTTGAATATGTCAAAACATCCTTTCATGCAAAAAACATTGTCTATGTATGTCTATGCATATCTATGCCAAGTATGAAATTTCAGACATCAACTCTACACCAAGCATGAGACAGGCCACTGGTAGGTAAAGTGGCAAGCAATGCACATTGATGTTCTATGTTCTGCAGTGAAAGGAGCTGCGCAGTTTGCCCTTTAGGCTGAAGATCCTGTAGCTGCCACTGAAAAAAGATCCTGTAGACGTACCGTAGCCATGCATCACACTCAGCTGCTCGAGGCAGATGGTCCCTTGGCGGCTTTGTTGAACCACAGCAGGGCTTCAGAAGAAAAGTTTCTTCAGGATCTCCAGACCTCCCTCCTGACGAAGAAGAAGTCCAAGTGCTTTCGAACTTCTGAGTCGATGGAGGATGAAGAACTGGAAGTCAGAGAGAGCATCAACGATTTCCTCGGGTTGCGCTTCCCCAAGCCGGGAGTGCCATCGAGTCATGGTGAGCTTGTGAAGCTTGTGAGTCGTGACAGCAACGTAGATCTGATTCTTTTCTGATACTTAATCTGTTTCTCAACAAGACGCTGCAGAAGTAGCTTTTGAGACCTTTGTTTCAAGATCTTTTAAGTGCCCGGACCCAACCAGAGAGATCATGCTAAGACCGGCTCTTTGCGCTCTCGTGTGCTTTTGAGACTTGTCTTGGACATGACAGCGCCACCTGGCTGTGGGATTGTACTGCAAAGTCACTTTAGTCTGTCTATCTTATTTGCATTGAGGGTGCCCAGTAACCAAGCATGCAGCTAGCCAACCAGCAGACTGAAGGCAGCCCTCAGATGTCAAGCCCTACGAGCTTAGTGTCCGAAATGATGGCACAAAGTCTGGGGCTTTTTGCCTTTGGTGCTTTTTTTGCTGGATTTTTAAATACAAAGTCTCACGCTGACGATAGCAAATATTCTAATTTCTGTTTGAATTTGGAAGCCTTGACTCATGTTCCAAAAAAAGAAGAAGTGTGCAAAACTTTCTTCCATATTCTGGACGACATTTAATTTGAGGTCTTGGCCAGTCTTAGCTTTCAGCATTGCTATCGCCTCTTCCACTTCGGTTAGTTTTTCCACGGCACAGTGTTATAGTTCATCTCGTAGTTTTGCAATCTCCGAGTGTTTACAGTCACATCTTGCAGAAGTCCTACGAAGTGGTTGTGTCGTGCAGACAGGTCATTTGCTATGGAAATGACATAATTAATTAGCAGCTTGGGGTGCTCATGAATATTGACTGCACATTGGTGCTTCCTTTTGGAGCGCAAGAAAATGGCAAAACAGACGCTTGTTGGAACTATTCGTGGGTCGTGTCGTGTTTGGTTATCAAGAGTCCATTACTTGCATGGCTTTGTTTGACTGTGCATTGTCCTATTTGCTTTTGCAGCTTGAATTTGTCAAGACATCCTTTCATGCAAAAAACATTGTCTATGCATGTCTATGCATATCTATGCCAAGTATGGAATTTCAGACATCAACTCTACACCAAGCATGAGACAGGCCACTGGTAGGTAAAGTGGCAAGCAATGCACATTGATGTTCTATGTTCTGCAGTGACAGGAGCTGCGCAGTTTGCCCTTTAGGCTGAAGATCCTGTAGCTGCCACTGAAAAAAGATCCTGTAGACGTACCGTAGCCATGCATCACACTCAGCTGCTCGAGGCAGATGGTCCCTTGGCGGCTTTGTTGAACCACAGCAGGGCTTCAGAAGAAAAGTTTCTTCAGGATCTCCAGACCTCCCTCCTGACGAAGAAGAAGTCCAAGTGCTTTCGAACTTCTGGGTCGATGGAGGATGAAGAACTGGAAGTCAGAACATCAACGATTTCCTCGGGTTGCGCTTCCCCAAGCCGGGAGTGCCATCGAGTCATGGTGAGCTTGTGAAGCTTGTGAGTCGTGACAGCAACGTAGATCTGATTCTTTTCGGATACTTAATCTGTTTCTCAACAAGACGCTGCAGAAGTAGCTTTTGAGACCTTTGTTTCAAGATCTTTTAAGTGCCCGGACCCAACCAGAGAGATCATGCTAAGACCGGCTCTTTGCGCTCTTGTGTGCTTTTGAGACTTGTCTTGGACATGACAGCGCCACCTGGCTGTGGGATTGTACTGCAAAGTCACTTTAGTCTGTCTATCTTATTTGCATTGAGGGTGCCCAGTAACCAAGCATGCAGCTAGCCAACCAGCAGACTGAAGGCAGCCCTCAGATGTCAAGCCCTACGAGCTTAGTGTCCGAAATGATGGCACAAAGTCTGGGGCTTTTTGCCTTTGGTGCTTTTTTTGCTGGATTTTTAAATACGAAGTCTCACGCTGACGATAGCAAATATTCTAATTTCTGTTTGAATTTGGAAGCCTTGACTCATGTTCCAAAAAAAGAAGAACTGTGCAGAACTTTCTTTCATATTCTGGACGACATTTAATTTGAGGTCTTGGCCAGTCTTAGCTTTCAGCATTGCTATCGCCTCTTCCACTTCGGTTAGTTTTTCCACGGCACAGTGTTATAGTTCATCTCGTAGTTTTGCAATCTCCGAGTGTTTACAGTCACATCTTGCAGAAGTCCTACGAAGTGGTTGTGTCGTGCAGACAGGTCATTTGCCATGGAAATGACATAATTAATTAGCAGCTTGGGGTGCTCGTTGAATATTGACTGCACACTGGTGCTTCCTTTTGGAGCGCAAGAAAATGGCAAAACAAACGCTTGTTGGGACTATTCGTGGGTCGTGTCGTGTTTGGTTATCAAGAGTCCATTGCTTGCATGGCTTTGTTTGACTGCGCAGTTTCCTATCTGCTTTTGCAGCTTGAATTTGTCAAAACATCCTTTCATGCAAAAAACATTGTCTATGCATGTCTATGCATATCTATGCCAAGTATGGAATTTCAGACATCAACTCTACACCAAGCATGAGACAGGCCACTGGTAGGTAAAGCGGCAAGCAATGCACATTGATGTTCTATGTTCTGCAGTGAAAGGAGCTGCGCAGTTTGCCCTTTAGGCTGAAGATCCTGTAGCTGCCACTGAAAAAAAATCCTGTAGACGTACCGTAGCCATGCATCACACTCAGCTGCTCGAGGCAGATGGTCCCTTGGCGGCTTTGTTGAACCACAGCAGGGCTTCAGAAGAAAAGTTTCTTCAGGATCTCCAGACCTCCCTCCTGACGAAGAAGAAGTCCAAGTGCTTTCGAACTTCTGAGTCGATGGAGGATGAAGAACTGGAAGTCAGAACATCAACGATTTCCTCGGGTTGCGCTTCCCCAAGCCGGGAGTGCCATCGAGTCATGGTGAGCTTGTGAAGCTTGTGAGTCGTGACAGCAACGTAGATCTGATTCTTTTCTGATACTTAATCTGTTTCTCAACAAGACGCTGCAGAAGTAGCTTTTGAGACCTTTGTTTCAAGATCTTTTAAGTGCCCGGACCCAACCAGAGAGATCATGCTAAGACCGGCTCTTTGCGCTCTCGTGTGCTTTTGAGACTTGTCTTGGACATGACAGCGCCACCTGGCTGTGGGATTGTACTGCAAAGTCACTTTAGTCTGTCTATCTTATTTGCATTGAGGGTGCCCAGTAACCAAGCATGCAGCTAGCCAACCAGCAGACTGAAGGCAGCCCTCAGATGTCAAGCCCTACGAGCTTAGTGTCCGAAATGATGGCACAAAGTCTGGGGCTTTTTGCCTTTGGTGCTTTTTTGCTGGATTTTTAAATACGAAGTCTCACGCTGACGATAGCAAATATTCTAATTTCTGTTTGAATTTGCAAGCCTTGACTCATGTTCCAAAAGGAAGAGCTGTGCAGAACTTTCTTCCATATTTTGGACGACATTTAATTTGAGGTCTTGGCCAGTCTTAGCTTTCAGCATTGCTATCGCCTCTTCCACTTCGGTTAGTTTTTCCACGGCACAGTGTTATAGTTCATCTCGTAGTTTTGCAATCTCCGAGTGTTTACAGTCACATCTTGCAGAAGTCCTACGAAGTGGTTGTGTCGTGCAGACAGGTCATTT